TTTTACGTGATACTTCAACACATACGAAGTGCCGGGATACCCGCATAGAAGTTATTTGATCTTCTTTTGGTCTTAAACTGCAGGCAATTCTTCTACTGGGAAAACTTGAACCGTTTTATTATTCTCCCTTCACTTCTTTCTGAGAGGACCCCACAATTTTAATAATTCGACTTCTTTCAAAAAACCAACACCATTTAAGTTACTATTTTCTGAAACTCCTTACAATTTTGAACATTTAAAGCTCAAAATTTCCCAATCAATATGTACTTAACACCATTTCTCGTCTCAGAAATTAACTGGACTGTTCTCAACTTATTCAACTGGTTTTTTCAAAACGCAAATTCTGATATTTCAATCCAGCGCGCGGAAAATCACTTTGCCTGTAAAATTTTCCATCATAGATTAAGGCCCCTGCCTCCTTGGAGAGATCAAATAGTATGGTGAAATTCCAACTGCGCCAACGACAAAAGTGCAAATCCCAAAGGAGCTAATCTTCGTTTGCCTTATTGGGGTTGTAAAAGAAGGGAATTGTCTTTGTACAAATTAGTGTACTTAAAAACAGAGAAACGTAAAGAAGAAAAACTATCTATATTTAAGGCCTTGTCTCCACGGGACGTTTTCATGGGATTTGTCCTAAGTTCGAATCGCAGGAATGAAACTGCTGGGATTTTTCCCAGTTACCGTCTCCACGGAACGGGGCTCATACAGTCCTGCGACTAGTTTTCGCGGGAAGATAAAGTGGTTAAAGTCGAGTATTTAACCGGGATTAAAATAATAATTGCACTCAGTTGACAATTAGACACATTATTTTAACTAAACAAACATTAACAATGTAGTAATGAATAAAATATCGCACAATTCGTTTTCACTTCTTCTTCTTCTCTCAGTGGGTCCTAGGGGTACAAGTACCATACTTGGTACTGGGAAAAATATTGATTAACTCTCTATATTTCCCAACTTCGTAAGTGGGATTTTTCCCTGGGACAAATCTCGTGAAACGGCTCGTGGAGACAAGGCCTAGAAGAAATCTAATCTGCACTTTGCCTCTAAGCTTTTATTATGTAAATGGGTAGAAGGTTGACGATTCTATTCAGGACAGTCGTGTCAAAGGAAGTCATCGGAGGTGGGGCTTAAAAACGAGTATTGAGGCAAAAATCTGAGTCCGGAAAGTATGCTGCAATCAACACAGTAATCGGTAAACCAAATATTTGAATGAGGCTGGCCTAAAGTTCTTCACATAAAATCCCAGCCCTTGTATAAAAGTGAGACGCGCTGATGTCAGACTCTAACTCAGTAAAGCTGCATTATGAGCAAATTCAAATCACTCTGACGTTGACATGAATAATTTTGACGTCAGTTTGATGTCGGTCTGATCGGATGGACGCTAGTCCAAAATTTACTTCGTCACCAATTTTTAGGACATCAATGTTAAACCTAGGAGACTTTGTTAGAAAGGGGACATTCTCGTCAGGTGGCCATCAAGAGCCCGAAATATTGGTTTTTTCCAACTATAGTTTAGTGTCTTCTGATTTTCATTCATTGAAAATGAAAAACGCGCTGCTAGTGATATACACACACAAATTGAAGGCGTTTTGCGTCTCTATGCTCACTCACGAGCAAAAATAGTACCACGCAACCTATGGCTACGATCACCACTTTGACTGTAGCGCCTTGATGCAACTATTCGTGTCCCGGAGCTGTCTAGGTTGCCTACACAAAAGTTAAAGGCGTTTTCTCTTGCGCTTACAGCGTTACACTTACGTACACAAACAGTACCATGTATCCGTGGCTTACAATTTACAAACTAAATTAGACGTTTGAGCTGCATCGTCTTGATATGAATACTTGTGTTCCGGAACGCCCAAGGAACATTTTCCCCTTTTGATCCAGGGAAGCTATTCCAGTTCGACCCAGGATCCGTCGTGCTATCAATAATTCAATTATTTGCATTTCTTTTACTCACCTAAATACTCCCAAGATTATTATGATTATCCCTGTTTTGTTTCTCTTTTCGTTTGGTTCTTTTGCCTCTTCGTCCGCTTCTCCTTCTTTTGTTTCTCCCTCTTTTCCACTTTTGCCTTTTCTTCCTGCTCTTCTCATTTCTCTTCTTTCTCCTTTCCTTCTTCTTCATCCTCTCACTCTCCTTCCCCCCTTCCTCCTTCTGTTGCCTGCTCCCTCTTTTACGTCCTCGTTTGCATCATCCTCTCCGGCCCTTTTCCTTTTTTTCATCTCCTTCTTTTACTTCTTCTTATTTCTCTTTACTTATTTTTTCTTCTATCGTCCCACTTCCTACCTTCTATGTTCTTTCTCATCTTCCCCTCATCTTCCTCCTCTTCTCCCTTTTCTCTTTTTTCCCTGTCTTTTTCTTCATCATCTTTCATCCTTGATCTCACTTTTCTTATTATTCTTCATCCTATCTCCCTCCCTCTTTTTAGTCTTTCTTCTTTTCGACTTGCAGCAACTCAATCCAATCCGCCCAATCAGGTCACACCGAGTCGACATCAAAATGTGCGCACGTCATCATTGCAGGTGCAACCTGTGCACCGAACCAGGTGCGCTTGCACGGCAAAGGAGGCTACCTCATTCCCAGGCATTCCGGTTTATCAAGAGCATTAGCGCACCGCGATGTATGCGCGATCGAACGAATTCAACTCAATTCGTCGAATTCCCAACGCGAGGACGTAATCCCACTCTGAGCCGAGCCTCTCGGAGCATGGAATCATACGGGCAGCAGGGCTCATCCCGAAAATTAGTCACGTGGTTCGTCGGGCCCACACACTCGTGCATGGCGTAATAGCATCTCGGTAGACAGGAACTCTCCGCAAAGCGGAAAAAAGGGAGCGACAAGTAGATTAGCGAGCGAATTCCGTCGCACGAGGACGTCTTTGAGCGCGCAGCCGGGGGAACCCGACGGCGCCAAAACCCAGTCCGCACAGCACGTGTGCTCCCCCGAAAAGCGGCCTGAATTCGCAACCGCGGCCGCAGTGATTGGAACAAGGGTGAATTGAGGCATAATCCAGATATCGGCAAAGGCCCGAGCTCAGCTTAGCGCCTTTCACACGTTCGCGTTTCAAAGTTAACCGGCTGCCTGCAACTTTCGTGTCTTCTATCCGGATGGAGGGGGGGGGGTGCAGACGTACGCCTTCCCCCTCCGACTAGTGCCTGCATCTTGGAAGTCTTTTTGACTATCATTTTCATGGTTGACAAACAAGTTTGCAGAAGGCGGCAAGCGTAAACTTGCTTCATTAGAAGTTTTCCCCCGCCCGCCAGCCTCGCCACCCCCATTCCAGGGGCTCTCGTCGGGGGGTCTCTGACTAGGTCTCATTAAAATTCATCTGCTTTTTTCGCTTTGCCCACCCTCCTTCTCGTTTTCTCCCTTTTGGCCTCGCTATCTTTTTAATTATGAGTTCTCGGGGGAAGATGGGCAGATTCAATCGGAATGGGAACCTGATACGGATCCGTCAGCAGTGGACACGGCTCACAGGACGCTAATTTTTCCTCCTGCAGGAGAACTCATGAAATTCGGTGGCAAGGACAGGAAAAGAGGATTATGAAGTACTCGGCCTCGCGGTCACGCTAGGAGGTATTTTTTCACAATGAAGGCGGTGCTTATGCCGTTGTCACTCTTAATCAATGAATTATGTGAAGCGACCTTATTTCACGCTGATTAACGTGCTGCTACACTATCGATGATCGACTTTTTAATCTATTTCACTATATTCAGCCTCCGCGGCGACGCTAGGAAGTATCTTTTCCCAATGAAGGCGTTTCTTATGCATCGTCATTCTTCATCAAGGAATTATCTCAAGCAACCGTATAACTCACTAATCTACGCTAGTGCATTGTTGCATGGGTGTTAAAATGCTGCAACAATTAGGCGTCTGAGGCCCTGCGAGGTAGTATATTTTTCTAATGAAGGCGTAACTTATGCGTCAACACGTAACGTAACATCAAATAATATTGTGAAACAACCGCATTACTCGTTAGTCTACATGCTGCTACGCTCCTGGTTGGGTTACTAAATGATGCAACTATTCGACCTCTGCGGCTACGCTAGGAAGTATCTTCTCCCAATGAAGGCGTTTCTTGTGCGTCGTCAATATTCATCCAAGAAATATCTCAAGGAATTGCATCACTTGCTAACCAACGCTGCTACTTTGTTGAAAGGTTTTTGAAATGATGCTTTCAGCCCCTGATGGCCCCTCGCTCTCTCGGAATATACATTGCGTTAGACAGAGGCACCGACAAGAGCGTCTTCGTTCCAAAGAGAGACGCGAGATGCCACATCACCAAAAAGTATCTCTTTTAAATAGATCGTATTCGATACATCAAACAGGTGAGATTTATATCGATATCGATTGGTTCAAAATGTGAACATGGCCTGAAAAGTCAATTTAGAAATCTAATGGAACGGGTTTTTTGTGATCGAATTTTTATTCTTTCTAGTATTTAATGGCAACGAAAAATGAAATTATTAGGAATTTTCTCATTTCAAGCTTTTCCAAATCAAATCCTAAAATTCTTGTCCGAGGATATGTTCTACTTTTTTTTTAACCGAACGATACATCGAACCACTATCGATTACGATCCATTAAGCGCCAAACAGTGATTTCTTATCCTAAGAAGCACCTGTTGCCCAGAGTCGTAATGTAAATGGGAGAGCTGGCGCCATGTTCTGCTCGACGAATTCCGAGCCCGGTGTGCGCCGAGTTCGGGTCGCTTTTTCGATCCAAAATGGCGGTGTGGAATACGTGGTAATTCCTATCTCCGTTGTTGTTGTTGTTGTTGTTGTTGTTGTCATCGGATGGCCGGGTGCCCGTGTATCGCAAGCAATCGATTATGTATCGAAAAAGTGACCCGGCGTCACACAGGAGTCTCGGAATTCGGGACATGGAAAATGCTTAAAAGTGGCACCAGCTCTCCCAATTACATTACGACTCTATGTACTCAATGCCCTCATATCAATGCACAAATCTTTAATCCATTTTCTTGTGTTTCAGGCGGGGAGTTCGCGGGATTGCCGGCAGGCAGCGCTGAGCATCAACCCGGTGCGGCCGACGGACGTGGGCGAATACTCGCTCATCGTTCGCTCGCCGAAAGGCGTAGCCGAGGGCTCCGTCCTGGTCAACGTCACCGGTGTCGTCGGCCACGTTTCGTCCTCCGGTGTCTCACCAATCATCGTCCATCCAACGTCAATTTGTATTGTTATGTACCTTGTCGCACTAGTCTTAAGTTAGTAAGGCAGGATTTTTTTTTATTAAACATGTATGTATCTTCGTCTCGACAGGAGCCGAATCACTCGGGTGATGGAAAAGAGTGAGCTCAAGCTTCAAATAAAGGGTAATTGAGGGGCTTTGAAGACATGGCGCATAAGTGCAATTTTTTGCTATTTCGAGGAATACGTGTTTCAAGTTTCGAAATTACATGGATCCATATGGCAAAAAGAAAGTTCAAACTAACTTTTTTATGCTTGAAAATTGGAATTTGGGAGCGAATTTTTCACAGAATATGCATTAAGCCTGGTTTTACTCCAAATCATTAATATCTCATTTTTTCAGAAACTGCCCTTATGCGCCTTGTCCTTCAAGCCCCTCAATTGAAGGGCTTTAAGGACAAAGCGCATAAATGCAATTTATGTTGAATATGAGGTATTAAGGATTGAAACTTAAACTTGCCTTAGATAATATTCTTTGAAAAATTCACTGTTGAAATCCAATTTTCAAGCCTCAAAAAGTGAGTTTAAACTTTCTTTCCACCACAGGGCTCCATGTAATTTTGAAACTTTAAACACTATATCTTGAAGTGACAAAATCTGCACGTATGCGCTTTGTCCTCTAAGCCTCTTATTTGGACTTCATTTTGCACTCGGAACTGCAATTTCTGGCTCATACATAAAGACATTTATCTACCTAGGGAAACTAATGGCTGATATGTTGTATCTATAATGAGCGAGGAATCGTAGTTCCTAACTGCAAAATGTTGTCCAATTAATCTGTTGCACACAGAAGATACAGCTGTGTGAATAGACTCTCAGGGGTAAAATGACACAAAAATCACAATTTTTACATCAATTAAGTCTGAAATTTACTCCTCAAAGCGTAATCTGCATATTTTGGGACACGCTCTTTCAAATTGCCTGCGTCTGAGAGCAGTTTCCAATCATCGTATTTGAAAGCAAGCAACAGCAACTTGCGGTAACTCGCGGTCAATACATGAAAACTGATAATTCTGGACATAACACGTATCAACGTAACCTGCAGATCGGTAGAAAATTCAAAAATTCAAGGCATGGATCACAATCAAATATCACTTTTCCCTAGTAAACAAAACTAATGAGCAACAACAACGAATCAGCAACTTCTGGCAACCACTGAGGCCGCCTTAAGTTGCCGTTTGCTTGTCTCCAGTAACAAGAAAGCTGCCCTTAGACGTGGGAAATTTGAAAAAGTATGCTTCTAACTTAGCAAATTTTCCTTTAAGGAGTGGATTTTAGACTTTTTTAATGTAGCCATCGAAAGTTTTGTGCCATTTTACCCATTGATGTCATCCTATCAAGTCATCGTTTTTCTTCACTGCCTTCATTATACGATTTTTATGCATTTTACCGATCGTATGTAAAATCAACCAACTTGTTTGATTTTTTAAATAAGATGTCTGTATCATTAAAAATATAATGACCCATATTTGTTGCAAGAATTGCCGTAAAACATCCCTCTTTGATCAAATCGAGTGAAATGTAATTTCAAAGCATTAAACATGTGAATATTTTTATTTTAACGAAGCTCTTGGATGAGAGCGACTCTCCGCGAATTTCGAGTCTCCAAAAATAAAAGAATCACCTAAGTCTGTCGGGGTGGGGTTGGGGAGTAACTGAAGTATTATAAACCAACTTTTGCATTTACAATACTGTTAGAAACATGGAATTTAAATTCTAGGGTTATCCACAACTTTGACAGGCTTCACGTTTTTATTGTGCAATTAAACTTTTACGATGCCAAATGATGTTTCTGTCAGTAGTATACTTTTAAATGTTTTGATCATTTTAGCAGTAGTATGTTCATAACCTGTTGTCGTGTTTTCTGCTATGTTCCTGCTGAGATTGTCTAATTAGCAAGTAATGATAAATTCTTATGAGCTAAGCAGACACAATCAGCAACTACAAAGCCGAGAACATATGACAACAGGTAATAGACTATTACCTTCGTCTCAAGGAAACCTGCAAAATAAATGTCTGTAATATAAGTTCAACCCTGTGAAAGATTTTATTTTTACTGAGTCTAAGATTGAATTTTGTTGAACAATTTTTTCTTTTTTTTAATGGGGTCGTTTTTCTGTGATACAATATTCTGATTACACTGAAATCAACACTGTAAAGACTCTTCTACCTTGTATAAATTTACTCGAACTTTTGTAAAACTATTTCCCATTTAATTTAATTTAATTTTTTTCCTAAGATTATTCGAACAATTCTGTTATATGGATCCTGGATTCTGTTAACTGTCCTGGAAAGTTAAAGTCTGAGAAATAGCCTTAGAAGCTATCGCAATTAAAAAGGCGTGCAAAAACGATAAAATACATTAGAGTCGAGCCCTGCAAAACCTCTCGTTCCTGTCTTTTGTGGATGTCTTTCAGACCAAACCCAAATATCTTCTCTTGTGGGGAAGAGTCATTGCAAAGCACCAATTAAGTAAGATAAGAGACGGATTAGGTCAAATCTGACGCTATTCATAATATGAGGCTCCCTGATTTCTCTTCACTTTCTTTACAGATGAGCCTTTTTCAGAGATAAAGTAAGTCTTTATGTCACATTATGCAGTATTTGTTCATTCCGCAAAATGTGCTCTTTTTTCTCCGCATGATCAATACAAAATTATTCCACAATTCACAGTTTTAAGCTTACCGATGAAGTTAACTCAGGACTTCGGAATTAAGTTAATTTTTTGAGGTGAGAAAAATCAGTCTTTAAATAATACTTAGTCAAATTTATTGGTTCAATAAAAAACCTGACAGCAAATTTTTGAAGGAACAACCACAAGTATATTTATGTAATTTTCCAGGTTTCAGATATCTATATCAAACATCAGCAAAGCATGTCTAAGCATCCGTTATTCATAAAAATTAAAATTTGCCTAGTTGAAGAAAAAGTTTGCGAATCACAACACTAACGACTCCATTTCTTGACGTCAGCGTTAATTTTATGATATGTCACACCTAATTTCCATTATTTTTCTGGCAGCTTGTATGTGTGTGAGAGATTTATATTTTTGCCTAGAAAGCTGTACTACATATGGCAATTTTTGCGTGTATTCAAAAGACAGGATGATAATTATTAAAACATGTAAACATTTGAAGAAAACTCATACCTTAATACGATAAACCAAAACCTCCTGTATTCTGTTGTTAATATTATATAATTTATTTGTACATACGTGTAAAAAGGTGTTGAAATAAATTGTTCATACAGATTATTTTTTCTTTTTTTCTGTATATTATAACCATACAATTTCATAGAGAGAAAACGAACATTTCATCATTAAACAGTAGTCCTCTAGGATCAGCATCTTGGTGACAGATGGGAGTAAATGCGGCTTGGATGCACTCGGGGGCTGATTATTGAAATGGATAGACAAAGCTATAGACAGAGAAGACCTAGGGAGTATGGAGCGATCCTGTTGGTTGAAATGGATGGTTCCTGTAGACTAAGTGAGAAAATGATAAACTAACTATATAGTCTCTCGTGGATTGCCGTTAGTTCGTCTATCACCTACCTCGTTGTCCATTGCAACCACCCGCTTCCACCAATAGATGTTTGTCCACATCTATTTTGTCCTCTTTGTTTCTAACTTTGTTTATCAAACTTATATCAGATGCTGAAAATTAGAAAATCCTTATCAGGTCTCGCTTTATTTCACCATCTTGTTCAAACAAAGTAAACAAATCGAAACACGGTAAACACCCTGGTCCAAAACTAGGATCGGAGGGGTTACCATTCAAGTTGAAAACTTGCCAACAAATCAGAGAGCGTTAGTAACCGGTTTGAGACAATATTCTCTCTGTACAAAGTACAAGGCACTGTGGATTTTGGACCAAATGACGCAATCCTATCGGAATTGCAAGTGCAAGACGCTTACATCACAAATATTGTATGAGGGCGAGAATTTCCGAGCCTAGAATCCGAAAAGTCGCCGAACAGCCAGGGAAATCCCGTGGACCCATTGCAGTTCCGCACGTTACATTACGTTCCCGAGCAATGCTGGTCCTTGCCCTTGCGGAATCTTTCCTGCACCGCAACGCATTGGTGCATCGTTGCATAAGTCGAGAGTTGGGATCCAGATAGCGCTGCTGTATCCGCCACCAGCATGGAGCATTTCCGGGTCCGGGCTCTAAATAGCCAACCACGCGCCAAGATCAAGGTCGCCACGATAAAGAGACGTTGCCTCTGGTGTCATGAATGAACAGTGCTGCCATCTTTAACGAAAAATTTGGCTAATTTGCAGCTCATTCAATAAAGCACTCGGGGTCTTGGACAAGATTGGGCAACAGCGTAAATCATAAACATGAATGAATGAGTAATAAGCGTCTAAATGGCCTTGTTGCCAGATTTATTAGATGGGGCGTCAATGTCATGCAGCATGGCGCTAACCAAACGCAAAGGGGAACATCGGGCTGATTGTTAAAATTAGGAGACAAAGATATAGACAAAGAAGACAAAAAGGGTATGGAGGGATCTCATTGGTAGAGGCGGGTGGTTGCAATGGGCGAAAAGGGGATACACATGCTAACTAACGGGAGCCCATGAGAGATAGACCCTATCGTTAGTCCATCATTTTCTTCCTCAGTCTACAAGAACCACCCATTTCAACCAACAGGATTGCTCCATACTCCTTATGCCTTCTTTATCTATCGCTTTGTCCATCAATGTCAACAATCAGTACACTAGAAATACTATGATTACTATACAATACAACTTTTCACACCACTTCTACTCTTCAACATTTTACGTAGGAAACGAATGAGGTGTCTGGAAGTAACTCCTCAATCAGGCACATCAAATGCTTACAATTAACATTGTTTAAATGGTAAGAATGCAAATGTTAACTGACATTTGAGTGATCTAACCTCCATTTGATCCGTGTTAAAAATTCTTGTGATAATCTTATTCAAGGTTCGATATTCCCTCTTCCCATGGTAGAAATCGTCGTTATCGTAAAATTTTGAAGAGAAAACGTATTACTACTTTTCTAGCTGAATCCCTGCTAAGCAACCCATGGAAAGTGTTCAGAAAACCGGAATTAGACTATCGGATACAAAACAAAATTAGCGAAGTGCCTATTAGTCAGTTGCTGGTAGCAGTCATGACCTAACCACCTGTTATTCACACAATACAGTTTTAACTGATATTTGTCTCAAACTGTATCCATTAACT